ATCTTCCTTCTTGCTGACAGAGAGGTAAATTTTCCTTATTTGCTTAGTTTCTAATGGGTGGTTGCTATACCATGTTCCGTTGTGTTAAGTTTGGTTGTCTGGTTCTGCTAATTCATTTTGATTGCTTAGTGCATGTGTGTTAACTGAAATACTAAATTGATTCGGGATTTGGTGTTGACTTACTCTACTCATTATGCTATTTATTAATACTTCAAATCGGCACGAGTGCGATAACTTTGGAGTTGAATTATACATGGCTAAACCAATTTTTTCTAAACAATTCTCCATAAGATTCTGAATGAATTGTTTGGATTGAATACAAATTCAGAATAATATGTAATGTTTTTGCTCTTATCCTTCTTTGTGATTGATGTATTATGGATTTTAACATCTTTGAGTGTTTATTAGCGACTTATATATGTTGCAAGAGTATGATTTCGTTTGGGAACTGCATGACCATGTGCAGGCACACTTGTCTTAATTCTTGATTAGTTATGATCATAGTTATGTCCATATGTCGCTTAAAATATGCTCGCATATCTATTCCTTCGTCACCGTCTGGCAACTTATCTTCCTCGTGTACTGGCAGAATGCTTTTTAACATTAAAGGCGTGGAATGCTCAGAATGCTGGAGCAGCAGCTATTCTTGTGGCAGATGACAGGGTTGAGCCTCTTATTTGAGCGTTCATGTCATATTTATTTGTCTGCTTGGTATGCCGTTAGTGCCCCATCTGTTGTTTCTAATTATGCACTTTCTTTATCATATTAGTTTTTTTTCCATCAGTGGAATGGTTAACTCTTGTTCACTTGAATAATGCTTTTGTTTGTTGTCTTTAAATTACTCGGTAAATTTATCATATCAAGTTCAATTAAATCTATTTCAGTAAGCTTTTGCTAAATTCCGATGTTTTATGTGTGTAGTGCAAAAGAATCGGCGGCTGATGGGGAGAAGAAACCTGAGGATGTGCTTGTCCGGGAAGCAGGAATGAAGTTAGAATTTAGATTCTCAGGTGAACTAATATCAGTTCTCATTTTATTAGTTTCATTAATTAATAATCCTTAGGCGATCTTAAGACACGCTAAAGAGAATTAGCGTAGGTGACATTTTCTGACAGTTCCATTATCACAACCTACTCTTATTTTTATCTGTCCTTTTTTTTTTTCTTCAGATTTAACTTTAAAAACGTTTACTATGTATCATAAAAAATAAACCACCTTTTTAGCATGTATTTTTGGTAATTTGTATGTGTTACTTTACATTGTATCTCAGTTTTGAACTATTGATGGTTTTTTTTTTGTTTTTTCTTTTATTTTTTATGTATGTTGGCAACATTTAGAGCGCTTGTTTTGTTGTTTTTTCCAAGGAGAACTTCGAAAATAATCTACGCTCTTATTGGAGATGTAGGAGGTGTTCTACTAAATTCAGGTTCAGTATTATTTGAATTGGGTTAGAAGCGAGCTTTGTACACACCCTCTGAGAGCGCCGCAATTTCTGTTGTCTGAACTCTCACCCTTAAACCTTTTCTTTTTCATTTACTTTTGGCCCATTTAAGGCTGAAACGGTGCCGTTCCCTTCACTCTAACCAATCAGCGTTTTCAAATCTTTTCTTTTCCCTTTATTTTTGAAGTAGCTCGACCGCGACGCGTGTGCTTCATTTTTTTCTTTTCTTTTATTCTGCTCATTGCAGAACGACGTCGTTTCCACCAAATCTCTAAATTGCTCCTCCTTGGTCGCCCGCTGCTGCCGCCCGCCACCGCCGCCTCGGCCGGCGGCCACCGCCTCTTCGATCGATGCTGAGCTCCACCTGGTGGTCGGCGCCTACAAATTTTGACTGCCACATCCAGCTTCTGGCCCCCCACCGCCTCCCTTGTGCTGTCCCTTCCGAATAAACATTATTGCACCTCAAGTTCCCAGGTAGTAAATCGATAGGTATTGCAGCAGATTAATTACACATATCTTCAATTTTTGCTCAATTTTTTTATTCCTTCATTTTTTCGCCTTTGTATTCGAGCTCGTTTCTCTTTCCTTTGAAGGTTTCGAGCAACTTCTCAATGATTTCGCCTTTGCCCTGTGAGCGTCGTTGATGCTCAAACGAGAAGAATATTTTCAAGGTGACGTCACCGGACTCAATGAAAGATGTTTATGAATGTGCAATTGGGAATTTTGGTGTACCTGACTATGGAGGATCAATGGCTGGGTCTGTGTTCTACCCTAAATCGAATGAAAAGGCATGCAGAATTTCCAGGATTTTGATATTGCCTTCAAGACTAAGCCTGGAGGCCTTCCAATCTTCCTTCTTGCTGACAGAGAGGTAAATTTTCCTTATTTGCTTAGTTTCTAATGGGTGGTTGCTATACCATGTTCCGTTGTGTTAAGTTTGGTTGTCTGGTTCTGCTAATTCATTTTGATTGCTTAGTGCATGTGTGTTAACTGAAATACTAAATTGATTCGGGATTTGGTGTTGACTTACTCTACTCATTATGCTATTTATTAATACTTCAAATCGGCACGAGTGCGATAACTTTGGAGTTGAATTATACATGGCTAAACCAATTTTTTCTAAACAATTCTCCATAAGATTCTGAATGAATTGTTTGGATTGAATACAAATTCAGAATAATATGTAATGTTTTTGCTCTTATCCTTCTTTGTGATTGATGTATTATGGATTTTAACATCTTTGAGTGTTTATTAGCGACTTATATATGTTGCAAGAGTATGATTTCGTTTGGGAACTGCATGACCATGTGCAGGCACACTTGTCTTAATTCTTGATTAGTTATGATCATAGTTATGTCCATATGTCGCTTAAAATATGCTCGCATATCTATTCCTTCGTCACCGTCTGGCAACTTATCTTCCTCGTGTACTGGCAGAATGCTTTTTAACATTAAAGGCGTGGAATGCTCAGAATGCTGGAGCAGCAGCTATTCTTGTGGCAGATGACAGGGTTGAGCCTCTTATTTGAGCGTTCATGTCATATTTATTTGTCTGCTTGGTATGCCGTTAGTGCCCCATCTGTTGTTTCTAATTATGCACTTTCTTTATCATATTAGTTTTTTTTCCATCAGTGGAATGGTTAACTCTTGTTCAACTTGAATAAATGCTTTTGTTTGTTGTCTTTAAATTACTCGGTAAATTTATCATATCAAGTTCAATTAAATCTATTTCAGTAAGCTTTTGCTAAATTCCGATGTTTTATGTGTGTAGTGCAAAAGAATCGGCGGCTGATGGGGAGAAGAAACCTGAGGATGTGCTTGTCCGGGAAGCAGGAATGAAGTTAGTATTTAGATTCTCAGGTGAACTAATATCAGTTCTCATTTTATTAGTTTCATCAATTAATAATCCTTAGGCGATCTTAAGACACCCTAAAGAGAATTAGCGTAGGTGACATTCTTCTGACAGTTCCATTATCACAACCTACTCATATTTTTATCTGTCCGTCCTTTTTTTCTTCAGATTTAACTTTCAAAACGTCTACTATGTATCATTCATAATAAACCACCCACCTTGCAAGCATTTATGCTAACTTGTTTGTCTTACCAACCCTTCGTATCTCCGCTTTGAACTACTGATGGTTTTTTTTCTGTTTTTTCTTTTATTTTTTATGTATGTTGGCAACCTTTAGAGCGCTTGTTTTGTTGTTTTTTCCAAGGAGAACTTCGCAAATTATCTACGCTCTTATTGGAGATGTAGGAGGTGTTCTACTAAATTCAGGTTCAGTATTATT